CCCCCATCACATTGTTGTTGTTAAGTGCCGTTGAGTCAGTTCCGACCCATAGCGGCCCTGTATAGGATTTCCGAAGAGCAGCTTGCGAGCTTGAACCACTGACCTTGCAGTTCAAACAACTTTGCAGTCGGACGCATTAGCGCCACACCAGGACTCCACATTAGGGGTGAGTTAATTAAATGTTTGACCAAATATAGCAGGCTAATTTTTAAGTTGATAATTTTGTATGACCTGTGAATGATGTTATAAATCTCCAAATGGCCCGTGGCAGAAAAAAAGGGTCTATAGGGGCCCCAGGCTGCACACCATTATGGAAGCAGACAGCTTCTTCTTTCTTGCATGGAGTGGCTGGTGGGTTTGAACTGTCAACCATTCAATTAGCAGTCCAATGCCTACCCACAGCACCGATACTATTATTTATAGAGAGACAAGTCCTGGCAGTATGCTAATTACTGTGTCTCTTGCTGGGGAGCACAGAGGGTCTGTAGGAGAGGCATGGATTTCAAACCACAAGGTTGCCAGTTTGAGCCCACCAGCTGCTCCATGGGAAAAAGATGAGGCTTTCGGTAAACACAATATGAACATTATATGTTTTAAATGCTTTCATCTTACAGAAAAAAAGTAAATAGTGATTTGGGAACATAAAAAGGTATGTTTCTTGATAGACGATAGGATGAATGTAAAACTAATGTTCTCCCATGTATACTATCACATAATTCACAATAAAACATTAAGAACAACAAAAAAAGGTATGTTTCTGAAGTTCTCAACAAAAGTTCATAGCATGAAATAGTTTGGGTCATCATTTTAATAAAATAATACTCTTTAAGTCCAAAATTAATATATTTTTAAGATTTTAGAATTCTCCATATAGTTGAAGTATCATTTTATCTCTTTAGTACGAAAGGGCTTCAAAAAGTTTGTGAAAAAATCCTATTACCTTTTTTATTATTATTATTATTATGAATTAAGTGATAGTTTACATGGGAGAACATCGGTTTTACACCCATCCTATCGTATTTTGTTTCATTGCAATGATTACAATCCCTTACATGCATCATTATTCAACATAATTGGCTTATATTTCCTCTGGTTTTTTTGGTTTTGTTCCTGTTGTTTTTTTGATGTACACAAAACCACTCAAGAATATATAATCACTTAAACAAATAGCAGCCAAAGGGCACATTTTTTGAGCCAGCCTCCTAACCGCCAGCACACAGCCTGTCTCTTTCCATGAGTCTAGAGTCCTCAGCTGCTCTATCTCTCCAAGCCATCTCCTCTGTCTCCATCTCTGGTGTCGCTGATTCTCTGGTTAGGGTCCCATGTTCTGCTCGTGCTCTTCTCTCTTGATGGTCTTAGGGCCATTACCTTATAATTCCATTTTTCCACAAACTTTTTGAAGCTTGCATGTGACTTATAGCGTTAGGTGCAATTTAGAAAGGGACAACAGAGTTCTAGTAATTGCTTAACCTGGAAGTTAGGATTCCTAAATAGAAGATAAAAACTTAAGTCTTTTTGTTTTATACTTACTGTATTTTATAGTTATTGGCTGCTCCTTGGAAACCCTATACAGGCTTGCTGTGAGTCAGAACCGAATCAATGGCAGTTAACAACAACAGCAGATTTTTGTGTGACCACATCACCACTGTATTTAATTTAACCTCTTATAAGGTTTTTACTGTACACTTTATTTCACCTGTTTGACTTGCAGTAAACATCACAAGATTACTCATTAGTAATTAACCATATTCTCATAGGCTTTGTTAAAAATGACACAGTGCTAAATTCTTCCAAGTGTTAAGTTAAATAAAGTAGCTGTAAATTATGATATGTAAAGAAAATCAATAAATTTAAAGGTCATATTCTCCAAGTTGTTTTTGTGGTGAATTAGAATATCAAGGAAGTTCTTGCTTGACAGTTTAATATTAGAGTCAGGCTTTGGTAAAGAACAAAATATAACCTGTGTATTAGGTACTGGGGTAACTCATAAAATAAAAAAGGTAGGAAAGTTTTAGCTTAATTGTTAAGGGTAGAGAACTTAGAGTGTTGCGATTTTGAGTCCAGACCTGCACTTCCACTTGGTGAAATTTAGCTTCATTAGTAAACTGCAGATGGTAATAATAACTCCGGCTCCCTACGGCTGTTAGGAAGACTAAATGGGGTGATGCATGTTTGGCATTTGGCACAAAGTAATCAATTGGTATAGAGGAGCCTACACATACCCACAAGTATGTGTGTGTGTTGTGGTTTTATTGGTGTGTTGCTTGATGATTTCTATGCCATTGGCATTCCATCCCTAATATGCCACAAATGCCTAAGTGAGGATTTTCAAGTAGATGAGTCTCATCTTCCAGCTCCGGCGTCTGTCTTTCAGGAGATTCCCTCACTTATCCCCATTACTAAGGATATATACAGTGAGTATCGGTGTAACGCTGCAGGATAAGCACTGGTCTGCCAGGTCAGTGCTCCTCAGAAATCCTATACAGGGTCCTGTAAGTCAGAACCGACTGGATGGCACACAACAACAACATCCACACCATTGAGAGGATAGCCTGCCATCATAGATAGCTACATCTCTGGAAACCAGGAGACTGGGAATATGTATGTTTCCCAGTCTACCACTAGCTTGGATATGTTACTCCAATGCCTTTTCAGTAAAAGGTGGAGTTGGGCTTGTATCTGAAGAGACTGTACCTGGAGAGGACCCCACAGATATAACCACACTTCATCTACCAGGTTACCAAGAGTTTTGTCAGAAATCAGCCTTATAGGTAGAAATCTGTGTATGTGTGCATACATTCATGTATGTGCACCTCCTGAGACAACCAGCAAACACTAAAAGGTTTTCCTAATTAGCAGACAGTGGTCAAATGCAAAATTAGATGGTGCTTTAGTACTCGTTCTTATTTGCTACTAAGATCTTGTTTTCAAAGGCTGCAAGGAATCCACACACAAGCTTGGATCATTCAGCGGTTACACTTGAAGTTCAGTATAATTCATTATATAAATACGAAGTTTTAAAGATTAATTCTGTCAAAAATCAAATCAAGAAACTCTGGCATTACAAAGAAAGGCTGACTAAAGGAAACCAGTTATGTTAATAGCTTCCCTAGATTGACTACGGTTTGAATCATAACTAATTCCCCTTAGCCAAGCAAGGACCCTCACTAGTTACTCACCACTGTAGTAAGTCATAAGCACGCTGATAAAGCTTATACATTGGATTTCTGATCATGTGGCCCACTGTTGGCAAATTTTGGATTTCTCTGCACTAGCTGATTCTCAAGGACTGACAGTCAGTGCTTCTAAGACATAGATTGTCCCAGCATTTTCTCTCCTTGATACTCTTTAAACATAAAAACAGCTAATGAAAAATATAAAGCAATTCCCCTTTACCTTTATCATTAATATGCTCCCTAAATCTCAAATACTTTTTGACTTCTGAGAACAAAGTTAAATATTCAAACTAGTAAAACCAAAAATGCAGACTGTACAGGGATATTAATAAAAACCTAAGAAGGAACTTTAGATTGGGAAAGAGGGATGTACATTTTTTTTTTTTTTTGAGGCCAGTTGTTGGAGCTGAGCCATAAGTGTGTTATTTTCATTTTCTTCTAGTTGTTCTTGGAAGTTTGGGTTATATTACTCTCTGCACTTTAAAAACATGGAAAAGAAAGAATTTATGATCATCTCCATATAGGATGAAATAGAAATTTCTCAACCTGTCTTCAAAATCCTTCATAGCTTCCCTCAACACTTTGTTTCATATTCTATTCACCCTAGCTCTTGTGCCCAAGGTTCTCCCCAGAACGGCTGTTTTTTCACACCTCTATTTCTGTGTTTCCACTGCTCTTTTGCCCTCGCCAGTCATCCTGACAAACTTCTATCCATCCGTAAGCTCCAACTCTAAGTTGCCTGTCTTCATAATCTCTCTTTTCCTTTTTCGGGGCAGAAAGCATCTCTGTCACCATTGCTCCTATACAAAGCACTGACATGACAGCTTTAGTCACACAGTGTTAGAGTTGTGGCTTCCTGCGCTCCTTCTACCGCTGCTACCCTCTCTAGGGCTGTTACTGCTGTGTTGTTGAAGTGCTGTTGAGTCGGTTCCAACTCATAGCGACCTTTTATAGGATTTCCAAGGAGCAGCTGGTGGGTTTGAATCACCAACTTTGCAGTTAGCTGTCCAGTCGTATCCTAAAGCACCTCACCAGGACTCTTGTCTAGACTACAGACCATATTTTTATTATATATCTATATCTATATATCTCTCTCTATATATATACAGACAGTCCCTTGGTTATAAATGAAATCTGTTCCTAAATGTCTTTAAGTTGAATTTGTAGGTAACACAGTTCTTATTTAGTTTATTTTTAGTGCAAGAAAAGGAGGGCTCAAAGCCTTTTCAGTGATTTGAAAGCTGTGCGTGCAGCCAGTGAAGGTGGTTGTGATTAATTTGTCATGAATAAAGACGGGTTCAATCATTCACACACGTGGTCACCCTAAATTGGAATTGCCTCGTTGGCTATTGGATTTTTGTTGTTGTTAGTTTAGCATCTATTAAGCACTGGACTGCTAACTGCAAGGTTGGAAGCTCAAACCCACCAGCCACTCCTTGGAAACACTGTACTACAGGGTCACTTCGAGTTGGCACCAACTCAACAACACTTACATACATACATACATACAAAGCACACACTCAGGAAAAGCTTGCCAAATGAATAAAAACCCATGGCCATGTATGGCAAGAAAAAGGGGAATATCCTGATACTGATAAAATACGTTCTTTTTTCATTTATTGTATATAATTTAGAAAATACGAAAAAAGGTGGAAATGAAATTCACCTATAACCGTCCTCCCTGAGAGCCAATCATTGTTAATAGTTTAGTATACACATTTCCGTTAAAGCATACTTTAAGAGATGTTTGGGGTTGAAAATCAGTGAATTACCTTTGTAACCTAAAGATGATCCTAACTCTTGCCTTTGCTGTTTCTTTCTTAGCTGACAGAGAGAATAATCATTCTGTTTGTGGTTATCACCAGTCAAGAAGAAATACAAGAGAAATATGTGGTGTGTGTTTTATTCATCTTGTGGAATCTATTGGATATGGTTAGGTAAGAAGTCAAAATAATCTCTGGTAATAAGACCAAATCGCTTTCTACAGTGAAACCAGTAGTAACTGCTAATATTTGGTTATTCTAAATGAGACAGAAAAACATAGTCCCTTTTCAAATTATGTTATCTTGATATGGAAATGTGTTTTTAGCACTTTCCATAAAGGGCATGTCAAAGATAGTAAAAACTGACCAGGATTTTATAAGAGCAAATCAGTGCATTCAGGATTCCAGCAGAAAGCTTGGCAGAACACCAACTTGGAGTAAACCTCACAGCTGTTTGTGAATGCTCTCAAAAAAAAAACCAACAACTTCTACAAGCAATTCTTTATATGATTCCAGTGGGTTCAGGCAACTTACTGAAGTCCATTCATGAGTCCCCTGGAAGTGCAGGTTAAGAACTCTTGTGCTTGCCAGTCTTCTTTTTCCTTTGAGCCCTAAACTTTGCAAAGAGACCCAGTCATTGTGTAAACCACAACCCCCTTTGCTCAGCGACTGACTTTTTAGATTTCTCTAATGAAGACTGTATCTCCCTCTTGGAAGATGTGCATGCACACAGTAACCAAAACACATGCTAGTTTCTTAGCTGGGGATATGTCAGTTCTGTGTTCATTATTTTGACAGTTACTTAACTGGATTAACATATGTCTAAATACAAGGTGGAGCCCTAGAGTGAAGGAGAATCTTTGCTGGAATTAAAGTGACTACAAGTCTTTGTTTATATAACTCAGTTACTCTTCATCTTTAACTGATAGTTTTGTCGATTCGGAGCAAACTTCATTGACTCTTGTAGCCCCTGACTTCCTGTTCAAGAGACTGGATCCTATTCCTGGGATTGAAGCGCTGATTACGGTTCACAGGAATGTCTGATTTACTCTCTGTTTAATCTCATATAAATTTAAGAGGCTCGTTAGAGACTTTTGTTGTTGTTAAGTGCCTTTGAGTCAGTTCTGACCCATAGCAACCCTGTAAAGGGAGGGTTTCCAAGGAGCAGCTGGTAAGCTTGAACCAGTCATCTTGTGGTTCAAAGCAACTTTGCAGTCCAGCGCATTAGCCCCAGGGCAACACTAGAGAGTAGCATGACTTTATGGTGCCACTTGGGCATTGAGAGGGGTAGCATAGTGTCATATAAAGACATCTGAATGTGGAGGTAGAAGCTCACAGGATAAACCATGTAACCACTACTTACTTGCTATCTGACCTTGGGAAAATCTCCTAGCCAGTTTTAAAATATGATAGATTGAGTATAACTTAGACAACTCATACTTGTTCTTGGTTGTTGTTAAGTGCCGTTAAGTTGGTTCCAACACACAACAATCCTTTATAGGGTTTCTGAGAACAGCTGGTGGATTTAAACTGCTGACCTTGTGCATAACAGCCCAGTGATTATCCTACAGAGCCAAACCAGGACTCAGGACAAACCCCTGGTAATGGTTGTGTGCCACTGAGTCTGACTCATAGCAACCCTGTATAGGGTTTCTGAGGCTATAAATCTTTAGGACAACAGAAAGCTTCATCTTTCTCCCCCAGAGCGGCTGATAGATTCACACTGCTGAGCCTGACGTCAGCAGCCCAGCTCATTACCCATTCTGTTGCCAGGACACTTTCAGAACAACCCTTACTCACAAGTTCTTTACCACATCATTTTCACTTGCTGCACATGCTGCTTTTGAATCATTGACACACTTGTTGTTAAGTTGTTAAGTGCCGGCGAGTCAGTTCTGGCCCATAGCGACTCTGTATAGGGTTTCCGAGGAGCAGCTGGTGAGTTAGAACCACTGACCTTGCAGTTCAAATGGCTTTGCAGTCTGGTGCATAACCCACAGCACCACACCAGGACTCTACTGACACACTAGAGTAAGGTTAAATATGAATTGTATGCACCTGTTCGTACTTAAGCAACAAATTCAGTTTTAAGACAAACTTTGGAATGGATCGCGTTCATAACCTGGGGACTGTCTGCACCATAAAACTCACTCCTTCAAAGCATGTCAGTTCTGGCTTCTAGAATCCTGTTGTGGTGCTGTAGGATAAGCACTGGACTGTAAACTGTAAGGTCGGTGGTTCAAACCCACCAGCTGCTCCTTGAAAACACTATACAAGGTTACTATGAGCCGGAACTGACTCGAAGACACAACAAAAACAACAACAGTATACTCGTAGTTTTGTTAGCGTCGCCACTATCTAATTTTAGAACATTTCAATTATCTCCCAAAGAAACTTAATATCCATTAGCAGTTATTCTAATTCCTTCCTCCCCAGCCCATAATAGCCCCTAAAGGACTTTCTGTCTCTCTAGGTTTGCCTAGTCTTAGCATTTCAAATACATCAGAAACATGGCCCTTTGTGCCCTGGCTTCATTCACTTTTCCGGGCACATCCATTTGTAATCAATACTCCATTTTTATGGGTGTATAATATTCTATTCTATTTGCTGTTGTTAGGTGCCATCAAGTCAGTTCCAACTCATAGCACCTCTGTGCACAACCGAACAACGCACTGACCAGTCCTGTACCCTCCTCACAGTGATTGTTATGTTTGAGCCCATTGCTGCGGCCACTGCTAAACCACCTCACTCGGGGGGTCTTCCTCTTTCTCACTGACCCCCCACTTCACCAAGCATGATGTCCTTCTTCAGGGACTAGTCCCTCCTGATAACATATTCAAAGTATAAGGGACAAAAAGTGTTGTTATCCTGGCTTCTAAGGCACTATTGTATGGATCTACCATAATTTGTTTATCCATGCACTCATAGACGGACATTAGAGTTGTTTCTACTTTTTGGCTATTATGGGCAATGCTGCTATGAACATCTGTGTATACAAGTCTGTGTGACATATGCTTTCGATTTTCTTCGGAATATACCCACGAGTGGGAGTCCTGATGTGGCACTGCAGGATAATGTGTTGGACTGTGAGGTCAGTTTGAACTGCAAGGTCGGCAGTTCAAACCCACCAGCCACTCCTCAGAAACCCTATATAGGGTTGCTGTGGGTTAGAACTGACTCAACAGCACTTAACAACAACAAAAATACCTAGGAGTATCAAGGGAGAAGAGTGGAGAACGGGACCCTACCCAGAGAAGCAGAGACACCAGAGATGGAGGCAGAGACGATGACGTGGAGAGATGGAGCAGATGGGGACTTTAGACCCAGAGAGTGAGAGGGGCTGTGTGCTGATGATGCATGCAGAGGATCATAACCATGACAATGAAATTATATACGATAGAATGAATGTAAAGCTAATGTTCTCCCATGTAAACAATCACATAATTCGCAATAAAACATATTTTGAAAAACCAAAAACCTAGAAGTAGAATTGCTGGGCACCTAACTTTTTGAAACTCAATGTTTCCCTCTGTAAAATGTGCTAGTATTATCTTCCCAGCCTACCCTAGAAATCTTTTCTAAAAAAGACTAAATGAGATAATGTGGTAAAAACATGCTTTAGACCCTGATATACAAAATAATTAATGGAATCCTGATGTGACACCGCTGTGGGTTAATGCGCTAGAATGTAATGTCAGTTTGAACCACAGGGTCAGCGGTTCAAGCTCACCATCCGCTCCTTGGAAACCCTATAGAGGGTCGCTATGAGTCAGAACCGACTCAATGGCACTTAACAACAAAAACAACAACAATGTAGTATATAGCACTGGATAAAGCACTAGACCACAAGGTTACTTGAACTACAAGGTCTGCAGTTCAAACTCACCAGCGATCCCTGAAACCCTATACTGGGTTGCTATGAGTCAGAATTGACTCTGCGGTACAGAACAACAACAGTAACATACAATGCATATGTACAGGATTAATCAGCAATTAATCACACTTAATAATTCAAAAATTGTGTTTTTCTCCCTGATCAGCCAGTGTACCTTTTGACAGTTCTGACACTAAAGTGAATATCTTCCTAATTGGATCCCATATCACCTTGAGCGTTCACTTGAACGTCTTAGACTTGACTTGATGATACGTCTCCCCTCAGCCCCCGCACGCCCCTTTCTTCCTGCTACAGAGCATGGCTTTTGTGTCTGGCGACCTGTAGTAGCTCAGCGGCCTGGGTCTGCTTTCTAGTTTCTCATGGTTCCCAAACCCTCTTTTTGTCTTTAGTCTCCACACATTCTTATTTCCTGGTTTTACAATTCTCTATAAGTACTGGATTGCTAACCACAGGGTCAGCAGTTCAAACTCTGCAGGAGAAAGATGCCCCTTTTTGCTCCCGTAAAGATTTACAGCCTCGGAAACCCTGTAGAAGGTCACTGTGAGTCAGAACTGACTTGGTGGCAGTGGGTTTGGGTTTTTTTGGTTATATACAAACACGATCATGCTACTCCCCACCTTTATCTGCTACGAGAGCCCCTTTTTAGTTTCCAGAAAAAGAGGGTACCAGAAGGAAGGTATGTCTCCAGGAACAGAAAGTAGATTCACAGGATCCCAGGTACTTTAAGCCTTAATATAACTTGGCATTTCTTAAAGATTTCATCTTGGAATTTCTCCACTGTCTTTGTAAATGAGACCCACTGCAGCTCTCAGAAGTGTGTGTGTGAGCGGGGAGGCAGGCCTCTCGTGCGGCCTGTTGAAATGTCCTGTCTGACTGCATTAATTCCCCGTTTGTTGAGGCTCTTCAGTCTGAGACAGATTTTCCAGGCCCATTGAAGATTCCTCCTCTGTTTTGCTCCATAAAGACAAAATTTCTGAGAAGGAAGCTTTTTGGTTTTTCTCGTATGCATAGAGTATCCTGCCAATCTAATATGTTTATGCCCTGCATCTGAGATTGGAAAAGATCAAAAAATTTGAGAGCATGCCATGCGGAGGAGGGCTCGAACTGTTGGTCAGAGTGCAAAGTGGAGCACACTATTTTTTTAAGGAAAAACTGATATATTTAGATTTAAAAAATCTTTAGATACACATTCCCTTTGATCAGTCAATACTGCCTTGAGAATTTATTTTATAAACAGAAAGATAAAATTACATATGTGCACAAAGAAATGTGTTCAAGGATAGCCACTCAGAATCGTTTATAGTAGCAAAAGATTAGAAATACTATCTGTTGAGCAGTGAGGTCTAGCTTAAATGAATTATGATATGAAATGAATCCTTTTATGCAGCTACATGTTGATGGTGTTAGGTGCCTTGACGTCAGTTCCGACTCATAGTAACCCTATGCACAAGGGAACGAAACACTGCCCAGTCTTGCACCATCCTCAACCGTAACAGCGATTGTTGTTACATTTGAGCCCATTGCTGCTGCCACTGTGCCAAGCAATCTCTTTGGGGATCTTTCTCTTTTTTGCTGATCCTCCACTTTACCAATCATGATGTCCTTCTCTTGGAACTGGGCCCTCCTGATATGTCCGAAGTATTAGAGACAATGTCTCTCCATCCTGGCTTCTAAGGAACATTCTGGATGTACTTCTTACAACAATAGTCAAATCTATATGTTTTTCTATGGAATAGTATTCTAAGATATGTTAAAGAAACAAAAAACAAGGTATAAGGCAGCATTATAGTACACTGCTTAAGTGAAACAGGGGACTCTGTGTTTATATGTTATCTATACACATAGATGTGCATAAACGTTTCTGAAAGAATACATAATAAACTTTTGTCTCTGAATTGGGGTCCCAGAGTGAGAGGAAGATGTACTTTTCTCCATTCATGTTTTCAAGGTGTTTGGGGTTGTTTCTCCAGTGGTTCTCAACTGTGGCCACTGAATCAACAGCATCAGCATGACCTGGAACTTGTTACAAATTCTCAGCCTCTGGCTCAGACCCACTGAATCCGAAACACTTGTTAGGGGCCAGCACTTTGTGCTTTTACAACTCCCTGGGGGATACTTGAGTATGATAAGCTTGAGAACCACTGATTATTCCAAGAACTAAAAAGATGTAGACAACTTCACCTATTACTAAATCATGAAGATATGTTTAAAATGACCTGTTTTAAATCATGAAGATATGTTTAAAATGACCTATTTCCAAGGCCAGTTCTCTAATTGGTCTCGTAAGATGACACAACTACAAAAGCAGAGGGAAGCCAGAAAAGGGTTTGGAGGTCAGTTTTGGTTTTGAAATGCACTCCCTAGGTATTTACAAACTATTGTAACAAACGAGCTGCTTGCTGTATAAAATGGGATTGGCTTCTTCTCCATGAAATTGAAGTCATTAATCAAGGGAACTGGTAGCTATAATTTCCTGGGGATAAGAGTTACATTTTGGCTGTTCATCTCCATAATTATCTGTGATCCATTCCATAAGACATGCCAGACTCACTTTGTCCTTCCCTTTTTTACCTCTTTTCCTGCTTCAATTATAGGAAATCAAGTATGTGATCTGCACACTTCTCAGTTTTACCCATGTATTTAATTACATAGTATGATATTTTCCTGCTATTTCACCAAAGTCAGCAGCAAATGCTGTTTACATGTTTCTTGCTTCCTTTTAGGTACACCTATAGCATGCTATCAGTGATAGGAATCTCCTATGCTGTCTTGACGTGGCTTAGTCAAACACTCTGGATGCTCATATATCCTCTATGCGTTCTCGCTGAAGGTAAGATAACAGTAACTTGCTTTATTGCTTACTGACAAAAACAGTCTAGTTACAATGGCTCGCTTAGTTGTTTGATGATTAAATTTGTAGTTTTGCTGTTGCTTATCTCAGTCAGTGTGTCTTTCCTGACATCTTCCTCTTGAGGCAAAGATGCACAGTATAAAAAAGCAAAGTTAGAGGGGGAAACATCTCTGTATAATAGACAAAAAGCTGGACAAGGAATGAGGACATCTTTGTTCGGGGTCCTTAATTAAATTAACTCAGCACATGAGTTTTGGGTGAATCATTTAGCCTCTTAGATTTGGCTGACTCACCAAAAAGGGGCTTAACATTTATTGGCTGTAAGGTTTTTACTTTGTTGTTAAATGCCTGTATATGGGTTCCAAGGAGCAGCTGGTGTGTTTGAACTGCCAACCTTGTGGCTTGCACAAGATCCTACAGCACTCTGCTAGAAAGTTGTCTCTGCTCATTCCGCTCCTCACTTAGTCCTGACCATGCATCCTCTGCACTGGCTCGATTTCCTCAGGGAAGAATCACTGGGTTTTCAATTTTACTTTTTTTAAACAGCATTTGCCGTCTATCAGTCGCTGCCTTATTTTGAATCATTTGGTACATATTCCACCAAGCTGCCCTTTGACTTATCCATCTATTTTCCATATGTGCTGAAATTTTATCTCATGATGCTCTTTATAGGTAAGTGATTATTTGGGGGTAGGGGTGTTGATTTGTGTGTGGCTGTAGTCCTGTGCTCTTTGGGTTGTGCAGACCTTGATAACCAGGTCTGTGAACATGGGAGAGATCAAGGAAGAAACCTGATACCATCAACTACATTTTGTTAGTTTAAACCACCTGCCATTGGGTCAGTTCCGACCCTGTGTAAGGGTTGCAGTGATGTAAATCTCATCCTTCTCCTGCATGGTGGCTGGTGGGTTTGAACTGCCAGTCTTGCAGTTTGCAATCTAAGTACTTATCTTCAGCACCACCAAGGCTAGTTACCTGTTAGTATGTTGTTGTTGTTAATTGTTGTCAAGTCGATTCTGACTCATAGAGACCCTGTACAGGGTTTCCGAGGCTGTAAATCTTTACGGGAGCAGAAAGCCTCATCTTTCTCCCGCAGAGTGGCTGGTAGTTTTTAACAGGTGGAAATTGGACTGCTTTTTGTAGCACATCAAAGGATCAAATGTGTCAGTATTTTACTATGCAAAGTAAGCACAACTGTACTAGTCTAGAATATAATTGTATTATGTGTGAAATACAGACATAGCCATGGGCACAGTGATCCATCTACAGATACAATCTAGATCTCAAACTAAGTGTGCTTGGATAGTTCTGGCTTTCACCTACATGTGTTTTGTTTCCTGTTTATTTGTACATATATGTTGGCACTTCCTAGCAAGGAAATGGAAGTACGTGCTAAAGGCTCAAGAAAAGTTTATGGAGCAAAAACTTACAATTGAGAAAAGTTCATCAATTATTTCTCCCCCCCAGAAAATTAGGAAAAGACTTTCCCATGATTAAACTTTACTGCCCCAGCTCTGCCACAAATCTCCAAGAAAATATTTGTTTCCAGAATAATATGTATAGTTCTGTTAGGCACCATTGAATTGGTTCCAACTCATAGTGACCTTATGCACGATGCCCGGTCCTGGGCCATCTTCACAATCGTTGACAAGCATAATCCAGGACTGCTGCATCCATAGAGGAGAAGGAGATGAATGTGAAACTTTAGCGGTGGTAGAGACAAGTGCCCCAAAGAAAGCTCCTTACATTACATATATATTTTTAAGATGGCGGAGGTGGTTGCTTCATTTTCCGCTCAGCAAAAAATCTGGACCCTTCTTTAAGCATTCCTTCTGAGAGTCTCACTCAGTGCCTTCTTCCCAGAATCCAGGCAGTCCTCTGACTATATTTTAAACTCTCAATCTTTCTAGGAAATGATTAATCAAACTTACTTGCTTTGACCACTTCCTTCTTCGTGTTAGGTATGTATTTCACCTACAGTCATCTGTATTCAGAAAGAAGGGATGTCCTCAGCGTCTTGGCCATGCAGAAGAAGAAAATGTAAAGCTCAGCATTCCAACGTGATAGAAGAAAAAGACAGGCTTGCAGATTCCGCTTCAAAAAATACAGCAGAGGCAGCATTCTGATGGGAAAACACCTAGTTTTGACAAACAACCGTGACATGGGATCACTGCACAGCCCTCAAATACTCTAGCCACACCATTGTCAGGTTTTCTCACAAATTGTACTTTGAAAAAATATACTTTGCACAACCTGCTTCACCAAAGCTGTGGCTCTTATACAAGTTATATTTATATTGTGTGAAACCTGATTGTTTTTCTGTAAGATTAATAAGAAATAGGAAAGCAACTGGTGTCAATTTGATTAAACTGGGAGAACAAAGTTGATAAGTTAATATCTGTTTACATCTATTCCTTCTAAGGAACAGCATTCCCAAATTGCCGCAGATTTGTTGAAGGGGAGAGACGTAAAAGACATGCCTTATAATTATCCAGAATAACATAGTTCATAGACAGATGTTGTCCACTCAGTGCAGCCTGAAGCATTAGACACTAACTTAAAAGATTTCTAAATCCTGGAAAAACATTCATTAATATCACATAAGGTATTTAGATACCTTGATGAAAATAGATTAAACTTTTGGGATATACAAAAATAATGCCCTTTATTTTTTTTTCTAACACCAGGACACATACTTCCCTTACAGGGAAGTAAAAGGTGTAAAATTACAGTAAATCATTTATAATAGAGAAGAAATGAAGACCTAGAGATATTTCAGAATATTTATTAATGAATTTTTACTCCTAATTCCTACCCTAAGGCATCATTCTTTTGAAAACTGCTGCTTTCCTTGAGGCTTTGAAAGCCAGTGTGTGACTCACTTGACTAATTACAATCACTTCTCTGCCACCAGTGTTTCACTTTTCATGAGAGAAATATTAGAGATTTTATGAAATATATAAAAATATAAGTATGTTACTGCATAAGAACCAGGTAATAAAATTGTAATTTTTTATAATAGCAATCTTATTCTGCTAAATAAAACACTGGAAAAGAAACAATTGAGTACTGGTTGTTGTTGGTGGTGGTGCCATGGAGTCGGTTCTGAACCATAAAGATCCTGTACAGGGTTTCTGAGGCTGTAAATCTTTATGGGAGCAGAAAGCCTCAACTTTCCCTCGGAACAGATGGTAGTTTTGAACTGCTGACCTTGCGGTTCACAGACCAATCCTTAACCACTACGCTACCAGAGCTCCTCAGTTAAGTACTAACATTGTTGTTGTTAAGTGCCGTCAAGTCGGTTCTTACCTATAGCAACCCTGTACAGGGTTTCCAAGGCTATAAATCTTTACGAGAGCAGAAAGCCTCATCTTTCTCCCGCGGAGCAACTGGTAGTTTTGAACTGCTGACCTTGTGGTTCACAGCCTGATTCATAACCACTATGCTACCAGAGCTCCTTATTTGATATTTATACATTTAAAATCATATCTGGAATTTAAAAATAAAATAATGAAGTAAAATTATCCTTTCAAAATGCTGTATTTTAATTTGCTTTTAAAGCCACTTATTTTACTTCTAAGTAATTTTTAAGTCACTAAAAGCTTTACATGACCCACAAGATGGACCGCCAAAGTGACAACCGTGGGCTCACGCATAACAATTGTGAGGACGATGCAGGACCAGGCCATGGCTCATTGTGTCTGTGTCGTGCCAGCGTCTTTGAGTTGGAACCGACTGGATGGCACCTAACAACAATAGCAAATGCTTTAGGATGCAGAGAGAATAGACTATGCCTCTGAGAATTGGGGGGATTTCGTCTCTCTTCCTGCCAATAAGATGCCTACATACATTGCTGAATTATACATTCAGAATGGCTAAAGTGGATGGATCTAGAGACTCTACTATGCATAGAGTTTTCAGTGACTAGCGATTCGGAAGTAGTTTGTCACTCTTTCTTCCTAGTCTGTCTTTGTTTTGTAGCTCATCT